TGTTGGCTTGCAAATCGCATCTGCCAAATCAAATCGTTTGTGGGTGTTTTTATATTTCATGTGCCGTGAAAGCATCATGTTTATCTTATCATCATGTTAAAGCATATGTTATCATTTCGTGTAGAACCCGAGAACGAAACGATTCTAGTTGAGCAAGTTCTGTGGAAGAATCCCCGGTTGTCACGGGATTTGATAATTGTGGTACTAATCCGGAACCGGAGATCGTCAACGAAGGCAAGCCCCGGTTTATGCATTAAGCCATTACCTTGTTTACTTTGAAAAGTTATCACCTATGTTATTTATTGCATTAAGTTGTTTAATTCAAATGTTACCTACTTGATGCATTACCTACCTTGATAATTGTTTACCATCCTTGAAGATGTTTTTGTTTATAAAGGCGTAGTGTGCTTAGTATGCTTTATGGTAGGCTTTCAAAGTAAAAGTTTCGATACAATCAAAGATGGCATACGGCCAAAGAAAGAAAAGATGTAGAATGAATTAGAGACTAGTCGGGTGACTTATCTTGAATTGTGGGTAATGTTGCCGACTATGTCGCTTAAAGGCCACTCATTGTGGATCTTTTGAACGAGACACTTTGTAGTATCTTGGTCACATACTCCGTGTAAGCCTACTTGGCTAATCCGATGCTAAGAAGAATGCCCGCCTTTGACCGAGTGGAGAGATGGCGGAGATAGCGTGTACCCTCGTGGCTGGAATGTGGCCGGATTTGAGGTGTGCTGTGCTCTCGGGTGGCGTGGAGACGGCTTAGTATAGGAGGATCCGGTAGCGAGGTTGATATATGCAAGATTAAATTCTACATATGTCGTGTGATAAGGAATCCCACCGGGACTTGAATCAATTCGAATTGCCGGTGCTCATGGATATGGAGACTCGATTCATTACGTAAGCAATGCAAGATCGGTGAATTACTAAAATATGAGAAAAAAGAACGGAATGAGAAGGAATGGAATATGGGAAATGTATATTTAGTTGAGATAATGAACTAAAAGAACTTAGTGGTAAACTTGAAAATAGAATGAAGAATAGTAAGCTTTTGGCTAAGAACTTTTGAATCTTGCTTCATCCTTACCTTGTCCCAAATCCCTGCATCTCGAAAGTCTTACACCCCGTTACGTCGGGTTAGTCTTGTTGAGTACTTTTGTACTCAGGGTTTGTTAACCCTTGTTGCAGGTGAGTCGCATGCGCAGGCTTGTTTTGGTTCCTGCTGCATGTCTGTGTTCGAAGTCAATGACGATGAGGATTGATGAATGGCCTTTGGACAAGGCACTAGTTTGTATGATAAATAAAGTTAATGTAATATTATCCCGCTATTATGGTCGTATGACACTTATGGTATTGTAAGTTTGAAAACAACTGGTTTGTAATAATACTAACTTAAGACTTCCGCTATCTTTTACTCTGGTATATATATTTGAATAAACTGTTGTAATCTGCAATGACTGTGATTGGGATCCTATTTAAAAAGAGAAACGTGGATGATTCGGGTTTCCCGAGGACACCCGACAGACCTGTTGAGTTGTTGGGAACTCGTGTACGCTATCCGAGGTCTGTTAAGACAACGATAGGTGCATGTGGGCCCAATTCCTTAGGAGGTTCTGCCACACATAGTTTGTAAAAAGAGAGTCCAAATTTGGATAGAGCAACGAGAGAATTGTACGAGTTTAGGTCTTGCTCCGGAACTCTAAACTATATGGATAATTGTATGAGTTTACTCGATCCTCTTTAGGACGATGAAAAGTTTATCATTCTTATTAGGCTTTATAACTTTGCCACGTTTACACTACTTGCAACATCCCCCGAATGTTGCAACATCATTCTTATTAATGATCGGGGGATGTCGCACATGGAGGGATAGGCATGTTGCATATGTTGCAAGTGTTTCAGAGGCATATTGCATATGTCCCTCCGTTCCATTTTACCGGGCGTGAGCGCGTTTTTGAGAATGGCCGTTTTACCTGGCGACACCGCAACATGCGCTGCTATTAAATGGTACGCAGCAGTTACCAAGCGTTTTATTTGCTTTTCTCACTCCATGCATGCGTGCATGTATAATTAATCTTTTTTTTTTGAAACGATGTATAATTGATCTCTAATTCTATTGGGCCGCTTCTCCTCCCTTTGGTGCATGTCATTGATAACGGCTCCACTAAATAAAGGGGGAGCTAGAAAACAGAGCTGGATTAAATTTTTCTTGGTATGTGGAATACTAGTGTTGGCGCCTGGTGAAACGGAATGGAGGGAGCAGAGAGTTCCCTCTAATTTTTTCTTAGTATAAGACGCACGTAAGAAACCGATTCTAGTAAGCAAGAGTAGCACGATAGCTAATGAACTGTCCCTACAAAAAATATTTTTAGAGACGCATCGGTTAAGCGGACCGTCCCTAGAAATAAACTATTTTCAGAAACGGTTACATTAAGAGAGCCGTACACCCATACCTAGAAATTATAATTTTTAGGAGCGACTATCTTAAACTGATCGCCCCTAGAAATAGGACTGATTTTTTGAACGGTTGTTTAAGCATCGCACCTAAAAGTGTTATTTTGAAATCTAGCTATATTTGTACCCTCTGTAAAAATTGGTGAGCGCCAACTAAATTTGAATTGGACCTGAAAACCATGTTGAACCTCTCTCTCCATTATTTCTCTCCTTTGTCTTATCTCTTGGTGTGCGCGTGGTGTGCTAGTATTCTCTTTTGCCCCATCTCTCCTCCATTATTTCTCTCCTCTCAATCTCTCACTTATCTTTCCTTCCTTCCTCTCTCTTTCACACAGCCATGGAGGAGAAGGTGGAACATGGCTCCGCGTGCCAGGCACACACGACTCCCGGCGGGCATGACTAGAGAGGTAGGAGCGGGCGGCACCGCAACAACAACGTTGGTTAGAGCCGTTGTGCAACTGTGTGGGCTTGTGCGCGCGCGATGTGGCGCGAGCAACTCCGAATGCCGTGACGGTGCGCGGGATGGAGCGACAACACGGGCTAGCTGGTGCGGCTGCACAGTGGCATAGTGCGGGCTGGAGCGGCAGCACAGCGCGACAACAAAGGGGCTAGCACGGTTGAGCAACGACGAGCTGACCGGTGTGGCAACGACACGCTGGGCTACCACAATGGAGCAACGGTAGTCTGGCGAGCAGCCATCTCCCTCTCTTTTTGCGTGTGTGTTTGAAAATCATTTTTCAAAGTCGGATTGCTTAAGCTGACCGATACTGCAAATATATCTTCAGTAGCGGTGGTTGTAGGACAACCGTCCTTAGACATTATTTCTAGGATTGGTTCATTTAAGGCAACCACTCCTACTAGGAATAATATTCCTAGAGATAGCTCATCAACGCACCAATGGAGGTGCCCTTACAATGCATTTTCTTCGCTCTCTTCCTCTCTCTCTCTCTCTCCTCCTTTGTCTCAACATAAAGTCGACTTGCATTCCTTTATTATACTTGTGTAACACAACAATACTCTACACCCACCGTCACCCAGTGTCGTGCAAACTATCCAGCACGCTAGGGCCCCCGATGCTCTGGGACGCCAATCTCCACCCCACTCTAACACTCCAACCCCCACCCCATCAGTTGCAGTCCTTACATATTGCAGTTTAGAAATCTAAAGATCACTTCGATCGTAAAGGAAGACTGAGCCAAGCCAGACGTTTGGCTCCCCAGTCTATCAAGTTAGAGCATCTCCAACAGAGATCATAAACATGTCCTTACTCTTACTTTTTTCGCAAAAAAAACTTAGTCCAACAGGGCCCCAACTCAAGTCACTATATTATGGAGGCCCCAAAATCTTCCCATCAGTCCCATCTACTAGGAGTGCGTAGGGAGCTCCCTGCTTACAAAATTTCATTTTCTTGCACCAACTCCCTCTTGTGCATCTTTTTTTTTCGTTCCTACTATGTCCCGCATTGCCGCCCTATTCACTCCTACCATGCGACCACCGAGGCCGAGCCCATCCCTCCCCATTGAAGTCCTCCCCTTCGGGCATGCCGCCACCAAGGCCAAGTCCGCCCCTCCCATCGACATCCTCTTCTCTACCACGAGGTGGGGACAGCAACAAGGGAATAGGAGAGGGGAAAATAAAGAATAATAAGAGTAATGTGACTGACAAATAGGTCTAAAAAATAGGAACCCTAATTTGAAGATTACTAGGTCTAAAAATATAGGAACCCTAATTTGAAGGTTACTAGTGGAGTTGAGCTCAACAAACAAAACCGTTAGAGGTAGGAAAGTCCTCAAAACCTAAATAAATAAAGACCCTATTTTAGGAGCTATTGTGGAAGTTGCTCAACTGTGACACATAACTTTGGTTTTCATTTTCGAAACACAAAACACAAGGCTGCCATGACTGATTCACGTCACTTTGTTTTGTCCTAAGTTTAACTTCTTTAATTTTTTAACTAAATCTATAGAAATAAATACCAATATTTACACCACCAATTAGTTTCATTCAATGTATCATGCAATATATCTTACACTTATTTGGTATCTTAGATATCAATATGTATTTCTACAAACTCTTGAACTTATTTGGTGTTCCAGACGTCCATATCTATATTTCTATAAACTTGATCACAGTTTAAGAATTTTAGCTTACAACAAAGCAAAAGTGAATTGTCATTTGGGAGGAAATACATGATAACCAGCATGGTAGGCAAGGCAGCAACGCCACGCCAAATGCAAAAAGTCCAGATCATCCTGCATCTATTCTTCAAGCAGCGAATTCTGAAACCTACAAACAGTTGGTATGGGTAGAGAAGGTAAAAAAATAACGTCGAGACTACTGCATATACCATTGTGCCATTGTGTGGCGCAAACATCATGCCATGAACTGGTGGCCACAAACAGTAGCATGCTGTACCCAACTGAGAATGCTACAGAACAAATATCCAAAATACTCTCAATGACTCATAGAATCCTTATAAAAAAAAGACTCATAGAATGTGCTGATTGAATGTATGCCGAGGGTCCCATCACATGTGACTGGTTTCAGCTCACAGGTTGCGGGGCTGGCTCTGCGGTGGCTGGTGCAGGTCTTTGTTGAAGGAGAGGTGAAAGCGCTTTCACAACTATGCTCATGTTGGGCCTGAACTCTGCTTCGTATTGCACGCATAGAGCTGCCACTGCAGCAAGCTGCAGGGAGAGTCCAAGGGATTACATCAATAAAAGATGGCCAAATTAACGTAAAACGTCATTCACAGAGACGTGTATGAGGGGGTAAAATGTTAACCTTAGCGACTCCCTTTGGAGGATATTCTCCCTTCAACCTGGGATCCACACATTGCTTCACCTTGTCTTCACTTAACCTTGGAGTAGCCTGAAAGAAACAAACAAATGTGAATAGAAGAAGTCAGAATGAATACTTCCCTACCTTTTTCTGATCTAGCTTCTGGGGTTTACTGACAAAAGACCATCACCAATTCTGACCCGATCAGAATCAGTTCTCACTTTTCAGTAAGACTTGGTGCCTAGATACTAATTGGCTGATGAATAGAACCTGAGAGTGGATTGATTTGCCTATGTTTCTACCTCAAGTAACATCTAAACAACTAGGCTTTTTTTGAGAAACCAAGTCAGCATGTCAATAGCAGTATCCAGTAAAAACTAGGCTATTTTTGCGAAACCATGTCAGTATGGCAATAGCAGTATTATTGTACAACACATAAGCAACCATTCTCCAATGCAAGTTAGCAAAATTACTTACCCATGTGACTAAACTTTGTTGTCCTCGAGGCATTGTGTGATCTACTGGTTTCCTTCCAGTCAAAAGTTCCAAAAGAACTACACCAAAGCTGTAGACATCGCTTTTCTGTGTCAGCTGGCCAGTCATAGCATATCTGTACCAAGTAGCGCCAAATTTAGAAAGGCAGAAAGAAAATCAGGGTTTAAATATTTCTACAGTTCATGCATAAAAAAACTAGTTTCACCACAATGTTACAATATAAATCCTTGATCTTGCTTCATTTATGTTACTGTAACCCTATCATTAGTTGATTAATTAATTATGATATGAAGCAACATTAATAACTGATCAAGCAATGTAATCAATCCAAAATAACCAATCAAGGGCAGAAACAAATGTAAGCTTGGTATTCAAAAGTTCATGGATAAAAAAATATTTTCACCACAATGTTGCAACATAAATCATTGATCCTGCTAGATTTATGTTACTGTAACCCTATCATTAGTTGATTAATTAATTATGATATGAAGCAACACAAATAACAGATCAACCAATGTAGTAAATACAAAATAACTAATCAAGGGCAGAAACAAATGTAAGCCTGGTATTCAAAAATTCCAAAAGAAATGTCAGTATGTCTTGATAGCAAAAGAAAATGCAAGACATGAACAAAGCATGCAGCCCACATTATCTTGGGCACACTATTGAAACCAAGAAAACACCTTATCAAAAAAAAATCAAGATTACAAAAACAAGGAGGCGAGCCTCTTGCACCCAAATTTCTTCAAGAAATTACGTGGGTGTATCCTGTCATGTCAGCGTGCATTTAGGGAATACAAATACAACAATTTAAGATCAAGTAGGGATGCCATAAAAGGTTGTTCACTAGGTTGAACTAGGTTGTTGATCAATTAAATGGCACTGATTTAATTTGCAATGTGAAGTTCTGCGAAAGGCTTTTTCCAGTGTGGTGTTTCTTTCCTGATTGCTGCTCTCCTTTACAGTTTGTTTTCTTTCTTCCCTTGGTTTTCCTTTTGACTTAGGTTGCTTCCCCTATATAAACAGCAGGTCCTGCCAGTTTACATTCAAAAAAGCTCTGCAAAAGGCTCCAAAATGTGTACTAAATCCATATATAGCGCATTTGGTATACATGGGATACAATAGCCAGTAGCATATGGCAAATTATCGTTTTCAGGTGGCCTGCCAGGATGTTAAAATACACTATCCTGACATATTAGTTTTGTTGTTCAACATTCTTAAAAATGAAATAATCAAGCACATGTACTAGAGTTTTTTGGTCAACACAGGTACCTACCTTTTTGAAATATTGAAGATAAAAGGGACTAATGACCCAAAGATTAGCAGTTCAGGTTCAATACTGATGGCATTTAATATTTGCTATCAGTTCAAGAAAACCTACTGTGACTGCTGACTGTAATATATTATCAATGCCGCACTGGGTAACCTAGTGTGAAAAAGAATCCCTATGGTGCACTCCACAGAAACAACTATTGTACACAGATGAAAAACAAGTAATGTGGTAGCTATGTCACTATATGATGGCATATCCACTTTACAAGCGGTTATGTTAATATACAATGGGAAATCACTACCAAAAACACGTCCTTATACGAATAACATATATATATAGCCATTGCTTTCATTAATATATTGCAGCAGTAAGTGGTCTTTTTAGGATATGTAGTTACAAGTGATTTAGAGTACAATTGTGCAAACAAAGTTCTGTCATAATATTCACATCATCTACCTAGGTCCAGCTTTTCTTAATAGGAATGCATTTCATTCTGTTAACCAAATGGCACAATTAAAACGCTGGCCATCTGACTCTATACAAAATTCAGTGCCTCGCCAACCCAAGTACTGTTGTCATGCAGGGGTTCATGCCTTGCAAGGACATTGGTCTGGCTTTGTTAATGGAACTAATGATTTCCAGTGAAAAACAAGGCGACATTCCGCGGTCGCCTAGGCGCGACTAGGCGCTGGGCGGAGGCCTCCCGCGGGGCCTAGGGGGTGAGGCGGACATCTAGGCGGTGGGCGAAGAGGACTGGTGGGGAAGGGATGCGTGGGGGCGGCGCGGAGGTCGGGAGACGATGGGGGAGGAGCTAACGTGAGGCAGCGGCGGCCGGTGGGTGAAGAGGCGGCGTCAGGCGGTGGCGGCAGGCAGATCCGCCAAAGCAGGGAAGCGTGGGGGCGGCACGGACGTCAGGCGGCGTTGGGTGAGGAGGTAACGTCGGCGGGGGCGGCAACGACTGGTGGGGAAGGAGGCGACGTCGGGCGTCGGGCGATGGCGGCGGCGCGGGGCGAGCGACGGAAGCGAGCGCGAGCAGAGGAGGCTGGGAGGGTGAGAGACGAGCTGGGAGGGGAGGGGATAAGACTTGGGCGTGGGAGACTTGGGCCGTTATTGGGCCTCTCCTCTTTCTCCCCATTCTATGACCATTAATCTGCTATTTTTTCCTTTTCTTTTACGTATTTATGCATATATTAGCTACCGCCTAGAAAAACGCCTTGAAACGCCTAATCCGCCTAGGCGCGTAGGCTCTAGGCGGTGGGTCACCGCCTAGAGAGCGCCTAACGCCTAGAAAAACATTGATGATTTCAAAAACAGTAATGCTATAAATCAGCATACTTGCTAGTGCATGTGTTAGAAGTTCTTGTACTTGTATGTATCCTCATAAGAAAGTAGAATTCGACATTTTTTATATGTAATAATTATGAAGATAGATGACGGCTAGGGAAAACAAAAGATGGCCATAGGTTTTTATATGTAGTTATGTGCATAAATGATTGCAGGAAGAAAAGTGACCCAAAGGTTGACTAGCATCATAGCATGTACTACAGTTACAAGGTAAATTGACCTTGACTTGATTTACAGTACATGGTATGGGTTCAATACTACATTTAGGTTCTATGGCGTTGGTGTGTTCCATATTCCTAGCAAATGGTATAGATAAATAATTTTCTGTTCAACACAAGGATCAAGAGTACTGGTTAAGGCAATCATTTGTCTTTTGACAGAGGCTGCCTGTACATCATGGGTTCGCAATATGGTTTTCGTTTTCTTGAAAAAAAATGTGCCTTCAGTTGTTGACATGCATGTGTGCTTCCCAACTGCCACATCTTTGAAGAATGAGTCAATGATAACCTTTTTTTGTGAAAGCTTGAACCATGATAACTCAAGTAACAAAACTGCCAGTTACATATTTCACAAAAAAAAAAAAACCTTGTCACCATAGCAATCAAAAAGATAGGCATGCTAAAATAGTAGCTAATAACATGAGCACAATTGCACAAACTACCAGTTAAATCATTATAAAGAATATAAAGTCATTAAGGTGGCAGTCAGGGCTTAACTAAACTGGCATGAAAGCTACACTTAGTTCAAGGTATGAACTAGGAAATCTACAGTTGAGCTGAGAAAGCTGCAGTCAGAGTAACATTGATGAAAATGAATGTGTCACAAAGAAGATAATTATTATGAATAAGGATATTAGACAATTACTCAGGTGCATGATATCCAAAAGTTCCCAATACACGAGTTGAATGGAGCCGAGCTGCCATATCTGGTGCTTGATTCAAAAGATTGAAGTCTGCAATTTTTGCCTTGAAATCCTCAAACAGCAGTACATTGCTTGATCTGATGTCCCGATGGATGATTGAAGGCTGAACCTTTTCATGCAGATATTCTATACCTTTTGCAGCCTCAATAGCAATTTTGACCCTCTGCATCCAGTCAAGTACAGGTCCAGGCTGCGCGCCTTGAACGCCTTTTCTTCCTGTTGTACAAAGGAATATGATGCAGGTCCATCACAGATGAGTATGACATCCTAAAGAATATAATGTGTGGACATGTGACATGAAAAGGGAGGATGCTTAACGTCTTACCATGTAAAACATCATGAAGCGAACCCATGGTTGCAAATTCATATGCGAGTATACGATAATTCCCATCCACACAGTAACCCAACATCTCAACAAGATTTTCATGTTTTAGCTTTGATGCCAGTGAGACCTGCAACACAGAGAACATATGTATTTTCTCATGCTTCCCCTTGTGACATTATCAACAACGTATGAGGAATATGAACACAAAGTCAAGAAGCTTAAAGTGCTGACAGTGCCCACCTGTTTCAGGAACTCATCATTAGGCTCATTTTCAGATGCATCAAGTTTTTTAACTGCCACTTGCCTCCCATCATCCAAAGTGGCATGATATACTCGTCCATAAGAACCTTCACCAATCAGAGCACTCGATCCAAAATCATCAGTCTTTTGTTTCAAATCATCCAACAACAATTCAGGGACATCAATTGTAGGAGGGGAGAACTCTGGCTCAGGTTGACTAACAGGAGGTTTTGAAGACTTCTGCTTGGCTGAAAAGATAAAAGTTAAATCAGCAAAGACTCCGAGATATAATCATATAAATGATGTAACTAAAAGGTGATACACAAGGATTTAATAGTTAATACATACTCCCTCTGCTCCAAATTATAAGACATTTTGGATTTTCAAGATACATTGCTTTTACTATGTTACTATGTATGTAGGCATAGTGTATATATCTAAGTGCATAGCAAAAATTATGTGTCTAGAAAACCAAAACATCTTATAATTTGGAATGGAGGGGGTAGGTCTCAAATTAGTCATTCAAACAAATTCTAGCAAAAAACCTTGGAAACTTCTGTTCAAAGAGAGGACAGAGGCAGCATACTTGCAATAAGACAAATAACACCTTGGGAACAACACAAGGAAGAATAAAAATAAAACACATGTATTATGAGCATTGTATGACTTGGGTCCCTTAAAAAGAGAAGGAGATTGGTCAATGCTAAGCATATATATGACATAGTAAGAACTAGGTATGGTGTTCCAACACTTCTTTGTCTACCTTCCAACACAGCAAATTAGGTCCCCCAAAAATAACAGGGGCAAACTGTGCAACCCAAAGGCAACAAGTAGAAATAGGGTTCTGACACAGTTTTGTCTGCATAGACAGGTGTGCATGTGATATGAGATGGGAAACACTATAATGAGATTTTTGCATCTGATGACTATGTTCAAGCATTTATATAGAGAAAATATGACGGTATCTTTGTATCTGCTATCTACCCATTTGATATAGGAAACTAAGACATATCCTTGTATTTGGCAATCTTAATAAAATTATAATAAGAAACACTATGATGGTACCATTGAATTTTCTCTGCATTAATTTCCTATGAGAAACACTATGATGGTTGACTTATATATCAAGTTGCTAGCCAGTCCCCGAAATACCATTGAATTTTTTCTGCATTAATATTGATCTACCTCATCTTTGTGTGTGAATCCAGCAATAATCTGATTCATATTAAAAAATTTGGAAACTTTCTGTGAATAGCCAGAAAACTGCTTCCAGATATTCTTCAGACTCAATACAGCTGAAGTTTCCTAATTCCCATGAAACGTCAAGAGAGAACAAAAGGTTGGTTCCTACATAACCTTCAACTGTCCCAGTCATACCAGAATTCACAAAACCAAACAAAGACAAGCGTTGAAAGCAAGCAACGTACGGTCTATCTTATTGTTCTGAGCTTTGGCCTGCTCCTTGTCGTGGCCATCTTCCTCGTCGTCAAAGTGGCAGTTACAACATAACCACTTCATATCGCCGTCCCGTCACCTGTCGCCACTTCAGTACGTGCAACAGAAACGCAAAACAGAGTTATCCATAAATGGAAAGTTCAGAAAGAAGGCATTGCTCATACACAGCCAGCATGGCTACATGCAATCAATCCGTCAATCAATAGGTACCGGCGTACAACCCGCCCGTACTCATCACACAAATTTAGTAAGGCGGTTAGCATGAATGCTAGACCTATTTGATGTGTGAGCTAACAAATCTGTTCACATAAATAGCACGCCGATAGCAGTCCAAGTCTGAGAATAACTTCAACAAAGACGGTATCATTTCGAGAGGGTTTGGGGTCATCCATTTCAGATAGTATATATTCATTATTCAGGTGAGTGGACGAGTGATTGCAGCAATGCGAGTCGCTTTTAGCCAGCCTTTTCCAGAAGCGCGTGGAGAGCAGTACTAGTACATCCGGGAACCGAAAGGATATTCCAAGAAAAAAAATCCACTATAAGACCAAGTTCCTCCACTATTACCAGGGGCGACCTTTGGTGTTTCCACCAATCCCAAAAGAAATTAACAAAAATACTCGGTACTACAGCATCAATCAAGCAAGCAAATCCATGAACCCGGAAGAGGATTGGATTGGAGGAGCGTTCGCGCATCCGCCCCAGGCAAGGAAGATTTGGATTCGAGGGCACACGAGCGTGGAAAGAGATACAGATAATCTCCCCAAACTGAACTGATCTCAACTCGAAAAAGCAAGCGGTCAATCCGAGGAAAGAAATAGTTAGGGCTTCCTTACCAGCGACCGACGAAACCAGTCGAGGACTCGTCGGGACGGACGGACGGACGGCAGAGGGAGGGAGGGATCCTCGCTTAGCGCCGGCACCTACGACAGAGGCGGAGGACGAGCAGAAGGGGGAGACGCTGCGGACTGCGGTGCGTGCTGTCCCCCAGTAAACTGAAGTCTGGGCGCGAGCCGTGCAGGGCGTGTGTCTCGGCGGAACAAGAGGGGGAGAATGGTGCGACCTGCGGGACCACACAGCAGACTCCTCTTCTTTTTTTTTCCTTTGGATTTGGATTGGATGGACTCATGGACGGCCAAGGCCAGGTTTAGGGAAGCAGCCAATGCAGCCGTCGAGATTTTAAATTTGGAAGAGTTTTAGGGTCTCCTGAAGCCGGACTGTTAAAATATAATATACATTAGGATTCCTCAACTGGAGTGCTTCACGGAATGTCTAAATCTCTGTAATCCATATTAAATTATTGAGTAAAAATGTAGCAGCGGATCTTAAACTTGGCCGTAAATGTCGTTTATGTCTCTAAACTCTAAAACTATACATTGTGGTCTTTAAACTTAGCTAGAAGTGTCATCTAGCTAGAAACTAAGTATGTCCGCCGTCACAAGCCCAAACGAATCACGCACAGCCCCTCCTTGGCCCTAGGCCCTAGCACCCACGATGATGACGTCCAACATGAGGCATGAGTGATACAACATGTTATGTTTGTACAACTTGTAGTCCTTGTATGTCGCATTTCTATATGCTCCGCTATAGATTTCATGCTTACTTTAACACCTAGGCTACACTGGATTACGGGGAATGTACCGGTGCGCTGCAGGCTGTGTGAAGCCCCTCTGCTCGCCATTTCACCAAGTCGGGTAGCAAGGGTGAGAAGCAAGCTGAACAATGACACCAGCATGAATAGTGTTGTTGGATGTGCACATAAGACCTGATTGCTCAGCAATGGAGCCAATAATCTTCCTTAAAATTTCAAAATTACTAGTGTTGTGATAATTGGAGCTTGTTGGGTTTTACCTGGATGGATTAATTCGAGCATCCAAATTAATTTATGTTTGTACCATACTATTTTACATAAAAGATTTAAAAGGACAAATTAAATTTGGATAACATGTTGTAGAAGGATAGTTTTGACATTTTGTTTTACTAAATAGGATACGTTCCCAGTTTAGGAAAAAATTACTCTAGGTTCAGAAATGTCAAGAGAAAATTTTCAGGACAAGGGAAAAATGTTTCAGGTTAGGAGAAAATGTTAAGAAGACTAAAATGAATGAAAAGGGAAAATAAATGGGAAGAAAACAAAACAAAACAAAATCTCATTTAATGGAGAAAAAATAAACAAAAAAGAAAAATGTTCCGTGACGGAGAAATAAAAATAAAACAGAAGAAGGATGGAACAAAAAATTATTCTAGTGGAACAACAAAAGAATTATATACCCTAAATAAATCATACAAACTTGTGTTGACAATAATATTCAACTGAACAAAATATGTTTCTCATGGAATTAAAAATTGCACATTAGGAACCAATCATACAAGCTCACAGAACAAGAAGATTATACTATGTGACAATCTTAACAACAAATATTCAGTTGGAAAAACTAATATTTTGGTCAAACAAACATTTTTACTAGAGAACTAAAATTTGTACACCCAACAAAACATAACTCAGCAAACAAAAAACAAACTATTTTTATATGATACCAATATTATAAAATGCAAAGAATAAATATTAATGCAAATAAGTTACAATGTTGAATATACACATACAAAACAAAAACTATGTTATCTAGAACAAAAGTATGTATGCATGGAACAATAAAATTCACAATAGAACAAATTAGAGTATACCATGGGACTAATAAAAGGGATAAAGTAGCATACAATATTATAAAAATAACGAGATAATTTAATTATATTGGTGTAATGATTTTTCAATGAATCGAACAAATTAAAAGTATACCTGGAACAAATATAATAGAGAAGAAAAATTATCCTAACCCCACTAAAAACATTATTGGGCCAAAACATATACAATATGTGAGCTGAACTAACATGGGCCAAAATAGAACAACAAAATCAGGGTTTTGAAAAAATTCAACCCACGAAGAACCTCTTCTCCCATTGCTTGTGGGCTCATTTGATCGTGTATGCTTCCTCTACGAAATCCCTATGCATTGGACTTCTTTTTTTTTAGGGGATGCATTGGACTTCTTCGGTAGATGGACTCCTCGTCTCCTCCCCACTTCATTGCACTATTTAGGCATTACACTATTTACGGTACGTTTTGCTGCAGTAAGCATATTAAATACATGTACATTTGACTCATTTCGTTATACTTTAGATTAAATAAAAATATTTAAACCACTTTAATTTTGCCTACAAGCTACCAGCATACATCTCGGAGCTAGAGTTGTGCTAAACGGGCTCTAATTTTTTATTTTACTAGCTTTTATTATGGGCTTGGAATTTATATTTGTTTTAAGGTTAGACTAAACCCAGCTAAAGAGGGATGACTTTCCTCGTCTGTTACCGAGATTATTTTTCCTTCTTCACACGTCCAAATTCACACCGTTCCGATTTTTTCCTTTTCCATCCAATTTCGTTTTTTTGCTGTTTTTACGCCATTTGAGTCACCGTTCAAAATATTATTTTTCGTTTTATCTTTGCCATTTCTGCCACCGTTTTTTGTTGTCCCTTTCTTTTAATGGTGTTTCCACTTTCTACGGGTTTTTTATGGGCTTTTGAATCCTTATAATTTCCTAGAAAACAAAGGTTCCCCATTTCCCACAACCATATTGGCCCCGTTCGCTGGTCTGGAACTTGGCTGAAACTGACTGGAAAACACTGTTCCGGCTGAATTGTTGTGAGAGAAAAACATTGTTCCGGCTGAAAAAAGAAACCGAATAAGCTGAATATGGGGTAAGCCGAACAGGGCCATTATTGTAATTCTGATTAGAAATAAAAAAAACTTGTTATAATGGAATCTAATTAAGTTGATGGTCGAACAAATGAAAATGAGAACTAAGATCTTGAGGAGTTTGTTGTCCGGTCAAAATAAATTTGCCTCCGGCTATATGTATGCACTAGTGCAATCATCAACGAAAAGCCACTACGTTCCAAAATGAGAAAGGTCTCCCATTATAATATTTAGTGAAAAGACCAATCCATGACATGTGGACAAATAATTTCTTGCTGACTTGACCAGAGATTAGAATTTTGGATTTTTATAGGCGTTAAAGAAGACACGGAAGTTACTAATATTTAACTGTACCAACGTATGCATAGCGTGAAAAATAAAGTTAGTGAAATATGTCGTGTTTTGTAATTTGATAGACTTAATAGGTTGCCAACATTAACTCACAAAGTAATACATATATACATTAATTAATAAATTATATCTCTTAAATTTCATAGGAAGGGAAAAATAGATATGTAGCATTCTACGTTTATGTTTTCTATGAACGTTTTTCGACAACTCTTCTTTATCATCTGTTTGCAACACACGAATATGTTGTCATTTTTCCTACATTGCAAAGTTTTAGGATAAAAGTGGGATAGAATGCTCTTTAACAAATTATACCTCTTATAAATTCCATAAAAACGGGGAAAATAGATATGTAGCATTCTTCGTTTCTGTTTTCAATGAATGTTTGATAATTTTTATTTCATCCGTTGCAAGGCACGGACATGCTTGCTAGTTTAAAACTAATGGGCTTGTCTTCGACATCTACCACATTTTTTTTTCTGAATGACAACATCGTGTATTTAAAATGAGGAGATATAATAATTCCACAAATGTCAAACAGCAACTGTACCTGTCATGCATGGCTATAATCCCCACCATGATAACCCGAGCAGCAAAAGATACTTTGTGATGGCTATATCCCACTATGATGAGCATCATACCGCAGTGTTGTGGCGGAGTGGCAGTGGCACCAAGAACCGAATCCATCCCACGGATAAGATATGCCAGGTGGCGGCAGGCCAGTGGCGGGAATCGCCCGTGGCGCCCTGCGCGCCGGCTGGGGATAATCCGCGGCAAGCAATTTGAGGCCACTACACCCTTGGCTCGTACTACACCTCGCCCTCACTCTCTCTTGCCCATCCGCGCGCGCCAGACCAACTCAGCACCCCGCGGCAAGGAGTTCACGCCCATGGCGAGCACCAACATGGCGTCGGCCACCTCGCGGTTCATGCTGGCAGCGGGCGTGCCCACCGCCGGCAGCGGCAGCGGCATCAGCGGCCGCGTCAGCTTCGCGTCGGCGCCCAACCGGCTGGGCGGGAGGCTCGTGGTCCGGGCCGACCCGGAGGCCCCGGCTGAGCCGGCGGAAGGGGAGGGCGCCGTGGCCACCAAGCCCAAGGCCGAGAAGCCGCCGCCGATCGGGCCCAAGAGGGGCGCCAAGGTTCATATATACTCGCTCCCATAACACCCATCCATGTCATCTATGCTCCTCAACAAACGGCCACCGATTTGATTTGGTCTCTGATATGATTCTTGTGCCATTGATCCGTGGCCAGGTGAAGATCCTGAGGAGGGAGTCCTACTGGTACAACGGGATCGGCACCGTCGTCACCGTCGATCAGGTTACTAGCTCACTCTCCTCGTCATCATAGAGCATATAGCTAGTATATACTGAAATGGATTTATTTGTTAATTTGGAACATGCATGACAATATTATAGCTAGAGAATCATACTGTTAGCATAATATCATGCAGGACCCCAACACCCGCTACCCGGTGGTGGTGCGGTTCAACAAGGTGAACTACGCCGGCGTGTCCACCAACAACTACGCCTTGGACGAGATCCAGGAGGTGAAATGAGTGATCGAGGCCGGCCGCCTCAAGGTCAAGGGCTCCGCGCGCTAGCTGCCGTGTGATTTGTAGTTGTGAAATGAGGCTGTGAAGCTGCATGCTGTGCTAGCTAGCGTCACAAAACATCGATCTTGTGTGTAATAGCTTATAATCTCCATAATCATCATGTAATTGCTTGCTTCATTCACCGTGGACTCAATAATCTCTCTTGCTCTAAATTTGCTGTATTCTTTTTTCTTCTGATTTTGTACATGCACATAGATCTCTCTCTGGCACCATATTTGCGCTCTGCTAAAAACTCACTCATGCAGTCGTGCTAGCTTCTAAATATACCGGAGTTCATACAGCATATATAGCAGATCAACATCCCCAGATAACTTCACATGTCCAGTTCTATATATATATATATCGTCTGAGTTTGTTTTCAAATGTTGTCAAACAATTAACATACATGGATTTTGGGAGAGTTCAAAGCTTATTTTTGGTGTTTCTTCAAGAGTAGTCTATACCATGGAATCAAAACTGTTAATTATGAGACTGATCGATGTCTTCACACAAGTGCACTGTCCCATTATGCAGGCTTCAGTTAAGGACTTCATACAAGAATATAGCAACCATCACCACACCAATAGGCTACACGTCATATTGCCAAGCAAAAACATGTACTCCATGTTTTTCAAATTTTCTAAATCGTTTTAGTTGTTTCTCATAAATCAAATTTATCTAACTTTAATCATGCATGTTTACAGAAAAATATATTAATATAAAATGAATCCACTATCAAAATATATTTCATGGTGTATCTGATGAATCTTGTTTGTTGTAGTATATATCTAATGAATCTTGTTTGATGTTGTAGATGTTTGTGCATTTTTCTATAAACTTGATGAAAATTGGAGAAACTTGACTTTAAACAAAGCTAAGACGACTTACAATCTGGAATGAAAAGAGAAACACACTACTTACTATATAACAGTGAAGCACAACAGATTAATAAACCCCTGTCAGTACCCGTTTAGAACCACCAGTGGGCAATAGGAAGTGGTAGGATTGACTATCACTGCCGGGTGAATAGCAGGTAGTGTTGCCCATTTCCAAAGCAAAAAAAGAAAAGAAAAGCTCCATCGTCGACGTCGCCCGTACCTCCGGGCGCCGCTACCACTACCGGGTCCCCAACCCTGCATACCGCCACTGCCACTGGGACCATGTGCCTTGTACCTCGCACCTGTAGCCCGAGCCACTACCGTCGCCAGGCTCGTTGTCACGACTCGGCTCTGCATTTGAGTTTAGCATACGCCTCATGTGCGTAATCTACATTAAAGTTCAATTCATGTTTTGAAACTCAGCTCAACAAAAGCTGCACAATCTAGGTTTTGTTGTCATTCAATGGATAGTTCATCAGTACTCAGAATAGTCTACAGAGCTAAGGCACCGACGAACAGTCCATCCTTTTACGGCGGACAATCCGTTAATGCACATCCATGTTGGGATTATGAGCTATCTAGCACTCTTCCCTTATGGCACCACCTATAGCTCATAGGAGGCACCCTCCCATGAACCAAACCCACTACAAATCCTATCTCTCTCGCTCTCTCACTCCCACTCTCTCTTTCACACTCTCTCTCTAGTTCTTATTGCTTCCACCACCACAAATAACAACTCTCAAGCAAGGTGGAGGGAGAGGAGTAGAGGAGAGTAGCAATTAAGGAAGGTCAAGGGATCCCCAAGGATGACCCCCCACCAGCCCTTGCAAGAGATTTAGTTAGGAGAGATCAATCTCCCTTACAAGAGGGGCATCGCGACATATAGGGCAAAACTACGGATGCTTGTTGCAAGACCTTGAAATGAGCTTGCATCAGAACATTGTGCTCACGAACACGGATAGACTTCTCCCTAATTGTCCCCTTTTGATCCAGCCTTCCCACATGCCGTGACGTAGGAATGCCAAGTCCAGTGTGACCCAAATATTGAATGCAAAACTCCAGTGCTTCCTCTTTGACCATTGAAAGGACCTACGATGCCGCCTAGAGGGGGGGTTGAATAGGTGTTTCTGAAAATTAACACCTTTAAATACGGAAACAATTAGAAAAGGGAGTTTTCAAATGGAAACTCCAAATTAAGAGTAATACCACCTCTCACAAGTTAGCCACAGAGTAAACAAGGTATAAAGAATATATCTAGAAGCTACAGCCCTGCAACACAAAGTTAGAACAGAAATCAAATAATATTTAGCCCTGAGCTCTAATACCGGACGTGTCCGGTATACACGATTTCTGCATATCAGCCCCGAACTTGCTCCTTTCGATTTCTATCTTCAAACCAAACTGTAGGCACCTACTAGAGATGACAATATATACAGAGAGGCTGCACAAGAGCTGGAGCAACACAAATATAAAATGAAATACGAATTGAGACACGCTGTTTGTTTTATCGAAGTTCAGACTCGTTTGAGTCCTACTCTCCGTTGAGGGGCTACGGGCGACCCAGCTAAGGTCAGCCCTAGAGGGTACCACGAAGGTCACTCTAGCCAGAGTCTTTTCCAACTCCTTTTCCTCCTTCCACTAGTTGATTCTGAGGCGGCGGAATCGACCGTTACAAACTTTCCGAGGCACACCACAATCTCTCGGGTGCTCTTCAGCGACGCCTAGCCGTCTAGGACCGAAGAGTCCAAGAGTAACAAATCCAAATCACGAGATTGACAATATGCACAAGTGCTCAAGTGGTTGGATTGCTCTCTTTTTGAATTTCTCTCAACCCACTAATTGATTTGGCAATTTGGATCACACGCTCACTAAGAGAGGGTTTGGGAGAGTTGACAAGGCTCAAAAATATGTATGTGTATCAGCAGAATCAGCAGCCTCCAAAGGTGGAGGCTTGGGGGTATTTATAGCCCACTTGAAAAACTAGCCGTTTTATAGCCGTTGCCATACCGGACACGTCCAATATGACTTACACTGTCCCAACGGTAACTAAGTTACAATGACAATGTGAGGCATCGGAACTTCCGATGAATGTCGGAACTCCCGACCGTTGAAACTTCCGACACACGTCGGAACTCCTGACCCTCAGCATATTTGAAAACTAACCGTTGGCCTCTGGTCGTCCATACCGGACATGACAGTGAACCATCTAAGTCAGTTAAGCGTGAGACGTCGGAACTCCCGACGAACCAACCCAAGAACAACAAGAATTTTATCGTGGCTGGGCAAATACCGGACACGTCCGGTATCAATAATGCCAGACCAGTAAAACACAGGTTAGCTCTTTTGTCTCTCAAACACTCAAACTCACATGGGTTGGCTTGAGCACTTATAAAACATTATCTATCAACATGATGCATCCCTCTTAATAGTACGACATTCCTATTAACTCAAATTTAAAAGTATAACGAATTTAAACCTTTTGAGTTGTTCTCTTTCAACCGAAGCTGTGTATTCCAATCTTCATCAAGTGAGGGTGCCAACATGTCAACTTTGATCTTTTTCACTTGAGCATAGCCATCTTGAGCACGTGACTTGATTCCATTCATCATATTTGAATAATCTCAAATGTATCAAGTCACTTCCATCAAACACTCCAATAGTGATTTGATCCTTCACATTAACATGACCATCATAGCTTGATTAGTACCTCAACTAAATGCAAGTACTTCCTTCTTCACCCTAGCTAGGTTCTTCGGCCGCCAAGCCATCGCTTGCCCTTCACCCTTGCTTAGTACCTCGAAGCCTTTTCTTGCTATCTTCACATTCTCAAGCCATCAAGTCACATCTTGTGTTGAATCAACCATTCATTTGTATTGTTATCTTTTTCATTTTAATTTAGCAAGCTTCAAATATGAGACTATTCCATATGTAATCCCTCATGTCTCATTAATTAATTCTTACGAGCTTGCTTTCACATAGAACTTGGAAATCCTACAATAAATAAGCCTTTGTATGGATTCCATTTGTATTGTTGTCTTGTGCTTGAACTAGATTGTTTATACAACAACACATCATTTTGGCTTTCATTAAGTACCGGTGAGATAACCTATTACCTGTCCACACTTAGCAAATGGGTTAGACCTTTAATCACGTTGTCATTCAATCATCAAAAACCCACTAAAGGGCTAGATGCACTTTCAATCTCCCCCTTTTTGGTGATTGATGACAACTTGATTAAAGCTTACAAAAGAATATAAACATTTAAGCTTTTGGGTTCAATAATTTATGAGAGGCTCCCCCTTAATATGTGCTTATGATTAGAATTCACAAAATAACCTCAAATGTCAATTGCATATACTAAAACATATAGGAGACTCCCCCTAAATTATTGCATCCGTGGGGTGCATGTGTGTGTGACAAAGTGAAACCATGATGCATATGACAAGATATATCACACAGGAATAAATATAAAGGCATCACATCAAATATTTTCATTCTAGCATGCATAGTCCTTATGAAAATAAATATAACAAATGTATGTCACACATAGCACTCATTACACATTTTCTTAAGTCCACAAGCCACTAATATAATATAGATAAAGATCATGTCTCAAGATATACATAGATAAAGCATAAGTATAAGTCTCATCTCTCACATAATACAATCTATCTCAAACTCAAGATACATCGATGAAGCTCAAAAACTACTGCCTGCAGTACATATCTTCCAGGTACAAAGATAAGCAAATGAAACAAAAATCCTGAAGCTTTAATTAGTCTCTCTCCCCCTTTGTCATCTATCACCACAAAGGTCCAACAATAACATACTAAGGACAAAAGGGCTGCAAGATGTCTCTGAAAGCTATGATCACTCATCATCATCTTCATCTCTACCAGCATCCTCATCATCTGAGCGTGTAGCACCGGCTGGACGAGAACCACCTGCACCAAACGGGTCATAGAAACTACCCGTGAGGTCACTCCACCAGTCTGAAGCATACTCGTCTGCAACACTAGGATGTGGCTGAGAGTGAGTAGGCACCCGAGCCTATAGTGGTAAAGTGTCAGGGTGCTCTAGAGCCTG